ATCTTCTTTCTTCTTCTTTGAATCCAGGAGTTTATATAAAAGAGTTGCTCTGGGGGGGAGGGGGGGGGGGGGGGTCCTGTCACACCCTGTCCTGTCTCCCCATTCTGTTCAGTCATGTGTCTCTGTTAATTGCTCCCACCTGCCTCTCGTTTTCCAATCACCCAAGCTCCCAGCCCTCATGTATTTAAACCCTCTTAGTTCTGTGTGTTTTGTCGGTTCATTGTTTCCATGTCCTGTGTGCGTTCATCATTAAAAACCTTTACGTCTTCCAGTTTGCCTGCCTGCCTGCTTCTTCACCCGCGTGTGGATCCTCACCTCCGCTTCACTCGTGACAACCGGGTAGGAACACTCAGACATTCAGTCAAGAATCAAATTCTGGGAATTCTCCTCAGTTCCCTCAAGGCTTCAATAAATAATTACTTAACACACACACACACACACACACACACACACACACACACACACACACACACACACACACACACACACACACACACACACACACACACACACACACACACACACACACTTTAATCTAAATGCATTAAACAAACAATTTGGTTGCTTGGTTAGGTGTGAACAGGTGTGAGAAATGTGATTTTTTTTTTCCTGGTAATTACTGAACACAACAAGAAAAAAGTGAGAAAACCTGCATGATTGTCTGCATCTACATGAGAATTCTTGGTGTCCTGAGCACAGACTTGGTTTTGATAGTGTGATTGCTCCTTATGAGCCAATCTGTAGGAGCCCTGCTGTAAAAACCACATTGATGATGGAGAGTAAATGCCAACCCACATTGCCTCTCACCTTGTTATGCAACAGCTCCCACCAAAGTCCTGATGTTATATGGCTCCTCTGACAACTCTTTGTGATTAAGCAGTGAAAAATGTAGAAATTTTACAGCTCTTGTAAATACAGAAGAAAGTACCTGAAAAACGAGCATCTGGTGGCATGATTCTTATCCTTCTTATCTAAAATCCTTGAGAAAATAGAGGGCAATCAAGAATGTGAGCATCTAAATACTAATGATCTGATCTGAATTTCAGTCTGGTTTTAGAGAGTATCACAGCACTGAAACTGCATTAGTGAAAGTGACAAATGATGTTCTCATGGCCTCAGATAAGAATCTTGTGTCTGTTCTAGTCTTGTTTGATCTCAGTGCTGCCTTTGACACAGTTTATCACAATATTATTTTAGAAAGACTTGAACATGTTGTAGGGATTAAAGGAACAGCACTAGGCTGGTTTAAATCCTACATGTCTGACAGATTTCAATTTGTAAATGAGAAATCTTCTTCGTACTCCAGGGTTACATGTGGAGTACCACAGGGTTCAGTGCTTGGACAAATTCTTTTTACTATATATATATGCTCGCAATTGGTAAAATAATCAGACAGCATGGGATAAACTTCCACTGTTATGCTGACGATACTCAGTTATATCTATCCATAAACCCTGGTAAACCTAATCATTTAGGTAGATTACAGGCTTGTCTAGAAGATATAAAAATCGGGATGAGTCTAAGGCCTAGTCCACACGTAGCCGTTTTTTTTTTTAAAAATGAATATCCGCCCCTCCAAAAACTTGCATCCTCACCACCTCGTTTTAAAAAGAAACTCTGTCCACACGTACCCGGATAAATACGTTGTTAAGGACATGCCAGACCTGTAGGCGGCAGTACTTCCCCCGTTCTTAACCTCGTCCTTTGTCTGTGGTCTTCCGCAAGGAGCAGTAATTCCGCTTGCAAAAACAAACAAGCAAAAAGTGCTTGGACAATTGATAAAGCGAGCGCAGCTCTGAGGGCATCTGAGGGCATCCATGCTGTCGGCTAGTGTAAACACAGGTCGCACACGTGATGTCAGCATTTTTTGTCGCGGAAAGTGACGTCGCGGACCTTAAAACTCCGGTTTTGTCTGTCCACACTCAGACACCCAAAACGGAGAAAACGCAGATCTTCACTTTGGCCGGAGTTTTTATAAAGATCCATTTTCGTGTGAAGAAACTCCGTTTTCGTGTGGATGACAGGCCAAAACGTAGAATAATATCTACGTTTTGGCAGATCCCCGGCTACGTGTGGACAGGGCCTAAAACTGTCCATTGTTTAATCAAAAAGTTCTCATCTTTGGAGAAGAACTTCAGAAAATGAAAGTAAACACCTGGCCTGAACGACATTAAATTAACCTCCAGGAACAAAGTAAAGAACCTTGGTGTTGTTTTTGACCAGAACGTGTCAGTCAAATCCCATGTTAAACAGGTTTGTAGGATTTCCTTTTTCCACCTCTGGAATATTGCTAAGATTAGAAACATCCTGTCCAGGAGTAATGCTGAAAAACTAGTAAATACATTTACTACATCAAGACTAAAAAATAATATCGATAATATTAGAATAAAAATATTAGAATAGAATAATATTCTACTTGTTGTTTAAAGTGACAGTGTGCAGTTTCCCTGGTGATAGCGGGCGGTACTTACCTAAATCACTGCAAGCAAGCGTTATTTTAGTGCTCAAGTAAGACCTTACCAACAGATGACCATTAGGGTCAAATATCCCTGGGAGTGCAACCTCCAGCAAAATAAGAACATCAGACTCCCTTTCATCACTGGCAACGAGTGAAGAGGTAAATGTGTAAAGCAACAATGTTTATTAATGGTGAAAAATTTGTAACCATTTGTTTCAAATCAGTAAATTCATTTTGTCCTCACAGACTTCCATAGAAGGAATCATGCCATCCAATAAGGCATTGCCCAGAGACTTAGACCAACTCCCATGTATTTTAGAACAGATTTTTATAGTTATATGTCATAAAACTGCCAATATTTTTCAACCACTGAGCATCTTTTAAGTCATTTTTGATGGATATTTCCAGAGATTAAAGATAAAAACTACACGTTGTGACATGAAACATCTCCATACATTAAAGAATATTTTAGTTTAGTTTCTCATATCGGGTTAGAATAAGTCACACAGACCAAACTCTGCTCCACAGAGCTGCTGAAGAGTTAAAGATGCAGAAACAGATGAATAAAGTTCAGCTGTATTTGAAAAATAAGAAGGGGAAATTAATGCGCGAGCTGCAAATATTGTGGTGACAAAACGTCCTTCAGAGTGCCGGCGGTGTCCATGTTGATTTCTGCTCCGGAGCATCTTTGGAGGCAGGAGGAGAATCGATGGCTGAGTAATGAGTTACTGCTGGCCTGCAGCGGTGAGCATGCCACAGCCACCGCCAGCTGCACATCAGCCTCAGACACAGGCTCTCCCAACTCGCATCCCAAATAATGTGCTGGAAAACAATTTGGACTCTGAGAGATGAGTCATAATTCACCCTTTAGAGATCACCATCAGCATGACATCCTCATCTGTACAGCACCCCCCACCCCACCCCGAGCTAACAAGCCCTGATTTGGCTTGGGACAAATTAATTTCTCTTACAGCACAATACATCATTTCCACTGCAGTTGGAGGGGAAAGTTTCATATCTGTCAGGAGGAATGCACGCTGTCTCTGAGCAGATCCGCAGCCTCTCAGCTGCTGGGAAGAAATGTGTCATTACTGCAAGTTCTATTCAACAATGCAGTTTTTCCAAATTTTCTCTCACTTTCAATCTAATCATTTGTTTATTTTCTGTGCATGACTGATTTTGTATAAAAACAACACAGTGTTCACTTTGTCCTGATTCTGAAGCAATCAGCTGCTGATGATCGCTGCACTTCAGCAGCTCAAACTCAGGTTCAACTATCAGATTTGTATTTTCACAGAGAATGAAAAGATTCATTTTCTCACGCTTTGATTATTTCATCTGCATTTATTTCAATTTTTGCAGAAATTGAGCTCGAAATGTTCACTTTTCTTTTTGAAGAGAAAATTTGTGTGCAAAGATCTTCGTTCTCACGTGGATTAGAACAATAAACTAAAGTTTAGATGAGGATTTTTCAGCCCCACAAACTTTGGAAAGAATGTAATCTCTGCATGGATTCAGGTAAATGTTCTTTAGTTTTCTAATAGAGTCCCCATTCTCAGGTGAAAGCATCAGGAATCACTGGTGAGAGACCTTGCAGGTCTGAGCTGAGAGAAAACCATGAGGATGATTGAAGATGATTATTTAACCAGAAACATCAGAAGGAGATTTTTAGAAGAGTCCTGCTGCATCTTTTACATGTTTGTAGGTAAAAAGTCAAATATGAGCACAGAGACACTGTTAATCAAAGAACTGCTGTGCCGGGAAGGAAATCTTAAAACTAAATCATGATTTTTTTTTTCCAGGCCTAAAACAGTTTAATCATTTTAAAAAACTTTCTTTTGAACATAAAATGTTAAAATAAAGCAAATAACTTTGTTGTTACCAAGTTTAAAATGGAGAAATGTTTTTGTGCAATCCCGTAGAAATGCCATCTGGATGAGTCAGCCTCAGCTGGGGCAACTAGAAACCCTCCGTTGAGAGCAAACTGAATACGATTGGCTGGCGATGTGTTTACCCCAAGAGGAAAGGTGTGGGAATCTGTCTGCATTCAGAGCTTCGATGACACCAAATTTGACATTAGTTTGCGTAAATGTGACTCAGCTTCAGTCACTTTTGTGTTTGCTAGGTTCTAACAGAGGTGGCAGCCATCTTTAATCACATTGACTTTAAAAGTTAATCTACAGAACAAGCTAGATTTGAAAGCAAACACCGTGGTGAAGAGAGAGCTGAGTCAGAAGGCGAAGCTCTCGATTTACCGGTCGATCTACGTTCCTACCCTCACCTATGGTCATGAGCTTTGGTTAGTGACCGAAAGAACGAGATCGCGGATACAAGCGGCCAAAATGAGTTTTCTCCGAAGAGTGGCTGGGCTCTCCCTTAAAGATAGGGTGAGAAGCTCGGTCATTCGGGAGGGGCTCAGAGTAGACCTGCTGCTCCTCCACATTGAGAGGAGCCAGTTGAGGTGGCTCGGGCATCTAGTCAGGATGCCTCCTGTATGCCTCCCTGGTGAGGTTTTTCGGGCACGTCCAATCGGGAGGGAAATGGAAGTCTGGGCCTCTCGCCCTAGGCTACTGCCCCTGCGACCCAACTCCGGATAAGCGGATGAAAATGGATGGATGGATGGATGGAAAGCGAGCTGTGATTTATGGTTTTAGACTGAGTCTGTTGGCCATGACGGAGCGCTTTGATAAGAACAGCCACAAAAATGATGAATATTACATTTAAATCCATCAGTATGCAGATCAGACATCTGGCGGAGCAAAGAAAAGGTTAGCAGGTTGGACTTTCTCATCCATTTTTATGCTTTTATTCCAGTTTTCAAGCTTCAGCGGTTTCAGTTTGGTTATTTTGTTGTACTTGTTCAGTTTTCCTCATTTTCCATCCTTTTTCTGCACCAAATCGAAAATGAGGTGTGAAAATGGGAGACGCTGGGACCCCTGTGTACTCATCTCTCTTATCAGCGAACCCATTCATAATGGGATTTCTAATTCCCGGCCTGGTGGGGCCATTTTGTGTGGGCACCATATCTGGTCATTGCCCAGAGACTCGAAAGAAGAGTTAAAGCTCCAGTTCAGACGAATACAGGGATTTGCCCTGTCTGTCCATGCAAAAACAACCATTTCGTCATTTTTGATGCATTTACATGAATATTTGTTACATTTTGGATGAAAATATACAGGTTTTCTTGTTTCCTCATAAAAGCACTCTTAATCAAACTTTTACCAGTTTTACTTTGGACCTTTCATTCCATTCTGGCCATTTGCAGAACATTTTTAAATTAGTTTAAGCTACGTAACTGATCAATATATAACTGAAGCACAAAATGGCTGCAAAACTCAAGGGATGAGCCATAACTGTGTTTACATCTAAGGCAAAAATATGTAATTTTAGCTCCAAACATTTGATTCTGAAAAAGCTTTTGGCTGAAAGCTTGTAGAAGAGCTTTGATGATGGTTTTTCACTCTGTCTGTGTCACAATGGGTGTAGCTAACCGCTCTGAGTTTTCCTGTTTGCAGGTGGGCGCGCCCGGAGAGCAGCTGCTGCGAATTCCCTCATCAGCTCGCAGGGGATTTAAGGAGCGGTGTGACAATTCACCAGTGCTGGATGATTACTCACATTGGGTAGTTTACTACAGCTCTAGACCTGTTTCGGATTATTCTGCATCCTGTTCTGCCTGTTTTAAGCCTCGTCATTATCTGTCCCGTTCCTCCATTCTCCCGCCCAGGTACTCTCATCATCTGCCTGTTACCAGCTCTTCAACCTGCACTCTCACCAGTTACTACCCGGAGCCTCTGGATCTCCTGCCCACCAGCCACACTGCTTCTCTTGGCCGCCTGCTCTCCTGCGCTCACCTGCCCGCTCTTGGAACCGGTGCTCAGCTCCCAGCCTCCTCCACCAGCTACCACTCAGACCTGACACGCCCTCCTCTCCGCGCTCCACTACCTTCCTGGAATCCGTAAGCCTCTATTCGATCACACCTTCCCCGTTTGCATTACATTTCTCATTCTTGTTCTCTGTCTCAGAACGCTGCCAGAACCGTCCCCCTCCGACGTCTCCCCAGCCTCATCGAACACAATAAATTATATATTATTTTTACTCACCTTGTCTCTTTCGTGATTCTGCATGTCGTGGGTCAAAAGACTCGACCACATCATGACAGTCTGAGATGGTGTTTTTTATGTCTGAAGCTTATTTTTGTCCAGATTCGTAGTTTTTATGAAGCACATAGTGGACATTGTCTTCAGATCTGCTCATGACAGCATAAGGTCTAGAGAAAAAGCTTCAGAACATCTGAGAAGATCATTCAGACGGAGCTCTATCAGCTGCAGGTTGGGTTTTTTAGAGAACTTATTAAACCCTACACGCTTAATGGTGAGTTTGTTTTAAGTCTGGCGGGTAAAAAAAAAAAATAAGATGCTAATGACTTTAAGATCAAAAGAAAATTCTGCAAGTGTCAACAGCAGGCCATAAAAAGATCTGAGAGTTGAAGAGGCTCATGCAGAGATTACAAATATCTAACATAAAGGACTCTCTTCCGCTTATTGAGGGGTGCCATATCAGTCAAAGAGTCATTATTTAACAGCAGTATTTTAAGTTATTGTCCGTTTCTCAATACTTGTCCGAACTTATGTACCGTATTTTTCGAACTATAAGCCGCTACTTTTTCCCACGCTTTGAACGCGGCTTATAATGAGGTGCGGCTTTAAAAGGATGGACGCTGGAAAGGAGTTCTACGGAAAGCGCCACGGAGGATTTTTTTCACAGTAAAACGGCGCTGCCTGTTTTCACCACTTCACCCCGGGATGATGACAGCAACACGGAGAGCGACACTGACAGTTAAACTACGTTTTCAAGTCAGTCGATATCCGTGGCTTTTAGCCCGATCCAGCTTATAATGAGGTGCGCTTTAAAGTCCGGAAATTACGGTACTCACGTCCTTGACAAACGTCATCAACGATGGCCCAAGGACTGTTCCAATCCTAAGTAAGCATCATGGCAAGTTTGCTCAAAGTTCCCAGATTTGTTCTTGCTCCGCCCATTGTACGGAGGATGCATCAAAGCATCTTCTGCAGACTTGAGACAGCAAAGTTTCCCAAAATGAATTACGTCGCTAACCGGTAAACTCTGAATGTTAGAGGAGAAAGCTAATGACTGTAATGTTTTATATTAGAAATATAAAGAAAATATTGTAAATTTGTCTGCAAATGTAAATGATCGTGTGTAAACCGTAAATTTTGCTGCGGGTGTTTGGGTTTTACTCGTCATGATTCTTCAAAATGCTAATGAACTAACTCACTATCAAAATAATAGCACCGTAGCTCTGTTCTGATGAAAAGAAACTTTACTAATTGAAGAGCGGCAAATGCTAGTAATTTATTAGTTTTGATCAAAAGTAGATCAAATATAAAACAAATAACAATTTTTGGTTGTTATTTTATTTAAGGGACAAACATAACTTTTGTTTTCATGTCAGGTTTTTTTTAACTGTAGCAAGAAGCAGCGCTTGTTGCAAGGACACAATGGAGTACGGTTCTGTTCCAAATGCCGTCCTCGTCCTCCCGTACTTGGTAGAACAGGCTTTCTGGTGTCCTTGCCAAGAACATACTTGTCTAGTACACAAGAATGTGCTTGTGTCCTTGAGTATTGAGAAACGGACATTGTTTAGCCCATCACAAGGGAAAAAAATTGGAGTGAATTTTTCAGTGATATTTTCACCATGTTATTCAGACATTTAAAAATGTTAAAGTTCCCAACTAAATATTTAGTTAGCAAGCTAAATATTTAATTTAGAGTTAAATATTTATTTTACAAATGCAATATTTAGGTCAGACCTAAATATTTAGTTTTTTTAGTTTTTTTAAAGTAATAATTAATTTACTAACTAAATATTTCATTTGGAGCTAAATGTTTAGTTTATAAACTAAATACTGGTGGTGGTCGGAGGGACCGGTGGCGCCTGTGCTTGGCAGCCTCGCCTCTGTCTGTGCGCCCCAGGGCAGTTGCGGCTACTTCGTAGCTCATCACCATCAGTGTGTGGATGTGTGTGTGTGAATGGATGAATGATATACATTAGTGTAAAGTGCTTTGGAGTCCTTACTCTGAGAGGTGCTATATAAGTGTGGGCCATTTATCATTTAAATAATTAGCTCTAAAATTAATATTTATTTATTTACATCCCAACTTAATTTTTACTTTGGAAAATGAATATTTAGGTTTAGCCCTAAAATAAATATTTAGTTGGGATCTAAATATTTGTTTTGTAAACTAAATGTTTAGCCCCAAATTAAATATTTTGTTACAAGATTAAATATTTATGTAAATATTTACCTCTAAATATTTAGCTTACTAACAAAATATTTAGTTGAGAACTTCAAAATTTTTAAATGTGTGATTAACATGGTGAAAATAGGACTTAGAAAAATGAACTCCGATTTTATGACAAGTTAAATAACTCAAAATACTGCTGTTAACTTATGATTTGGACTTTACAAATGGCACCCCTTACTTTATTACAACTACCAGTTTTAGTTTTGCGTTTTGGTTCTCATAGTTGTTTTCTCTTTGCCGATTTTAAGTTAAATTTAACGTAAACACCTACTCTGTTGTACCTGCGAGCTAAACTCCACATCCTATGTTATTGATGGCTGCATCTGAAAAAACAACATGTTAAATTTTATTTATTTAAACATTTTCAAAACACAACCAAACCACTCAGGATCTCGCTCTCTCACACACACAGATATTGTTGCAGCGACAGAGCATTACGTTGATGAAGGGTCATCTCATTTTGGCCTTTGATCTTCTATTTCTCTGCATCTAGTCCTGTCAGACCTAAATAATGCATGTCAGCTGGGATTCTGCAGCTTTAGCTCAGGCGCGTTTTGGATTCATCACTCAGGCAACAAGCTGCAACACCTGACTTCCAGCGTTTTGATGCTTTGACCAATGAATCTGCATCTTGTACTAGACTTTGGAATGTAATCCTAAGTGTTGGCTTCATATCGGACCCTGTTAGTGGACTCAAACCATGCAGAAACATATTTTAAACACTTCACTTGAGACCATTGAGTTACTCAGAGACTCAAGAGCACCGCGGTATTAAAATAGCAGAAGAGACTGAGCGGCACTCTGGCTGCTCATGCTGTCACAGTGCAGCAGACCTCCATTCCCCCCCGGGCTGTTCCCACTAGATATCTTTATCCACTGACAGAGTAGCGATTCAGCAGAGCATAAGGACAGAGCAAAATAGCAGGAAAGAACAATATATTTTTATCCTGTTGAGTACATTTGATCAGGTTACAGCAAGTTCCAGAACGCACAACGATCCGCATCATGAACATAAGCAACAGCTAAGAATTGAAGACAGCATCAATCCATCTACTTGGATGAAAACACCTTAAAAAGATGTTTTTGCATTTTGCCCCTTTACTCTAGAATCATTCAGTGAATCTGTATTCATTCTGGTTAAATGTTGAAACGTCAAAATTTAATCCACACAAGCACATAATTATATAAATAACTCACTCACTGAACCTTCATGCATGTTTTTGAGAATCTTTCAGCCCTTTAATCTAAGTTTCTTGCATTAAAAACCTTTACGTCTTCCAGTTTGTCTGCCTGCCTGCTTCTTCACCCGCGTGTGGATCCTCACCTCCGCTTCACTCGTGACAACCGGGTAGGAACACTCAGACATTCAGTCAAGAATCAAATTCTAGGAATTCTCCTCAGTTCCCTCAGTGTGGTGAGTAGGTGTAATGTAGTATGGTTGCAGTGGCTCTGTGGGCATTTTACCCGCGATTCTGCACGTCTCGTTTGAAGAGGGAGGCCGTGCCCACCGTGGCTCTTCCGCGATTTAGATGCAGCCCACAGACTCTGCTCCCCCACCACGGCGGGCTCCAGTCTGAGGTGAGTAAGCTAAATAAAAATTTTAACATCTTCTAAAGACAATTCCCTACCTAAATGCAAAGTTTGAGAGACGTGGTTCACTTCATTTAGCTAGTCAGTCGGTAATTCTGCAACAGTGGCTCTAACTGACGCAGCACTAGTAGACAGGCAGCATTACAGCGTGAAATCCAGCTTGTGACCCGCTTCTGTAAGGAATTCTGTTCAGGAGGTCGCATTTCAGGCTCTCCACATCATGTGTGACTGAATTTTACGTTATAACAACGATCACACACTAGGAATGTTATAAAGCGCCTATATAGGACAGTTTCTTTTGTATATTATCTGACTTTATAAACAACAACAATGTGCTTCTATTTTTTTCAGGCTAAATCTACCCAAGACATTGGCTGTCAGACTGATTTAGCTGCAAGAATGCACTTGTCCAGGCTGATGTGAAGCCTTACCCGTAGCAAAGGTGAATTATTTTTAATAATCTTCTATGTAAACATTTTATTATTACCTTCTAGTTTTTATGTGTTTTACAGATTATTGTTACACGTGATTTTATGCTCTTTTAAACATTTATAAATGTGCTGCTTCTTTGTTTTTACGTAGCCAGCCAGAATATAGCTCACAGCCGCAGTGTGTCTTGTGACACAGAGACCATGACGGAAATTCATCTTCCAGAAAGTCCCAGAGCAGCGTCCACACCCCTGAAAAGACCAAGATGTGAGGTGTCTGCTGTTGATTCCAGCTTCCACCTCAGTGACAGTGCAAGCTCAGTGAACTGTTCAAGGTAAAAAAAAATTAAAACATTTCAGAATTTTTAAGATATTAACAATTAAATAAGTATGTGATTACATCATGACATCATGAAGGAGGCTACTGATTCTGGCCCTGTGACACTTGGTGGTGACGTGTGAGCTGATTCACCTGGTAAATAACTTTTACATTAAATATTTTGGTTTTTTCTATTAAAAGTAAAATAACTAATAACCTGCATTATTGCAGGACACTCAGCAAAATATGGACTCTACACCATGATGCAGGCACACGTTAATACTCTATAACAGCACATAAGGTGAGCAACACCACATATTATTGTACACTGTCCTGGATTTGATTTCTTTCTGCATGCTTTGTTTTCTTTCTGCATCTCATCATTAGCCTGGCTGATCACCTGATAACTCCTGTCATCTGGTTGTGACAGCATGAGGACGTCCTCACACACCTGTAACCTATCAGCTCATCTGGCAGAATAGAGAGAGAAGAGACAACACCACATCTCCTGTTCCTGGAAAGCCTTCAGCCATCCTTCGATGACTGAGAACCTCCACCAGTTCTGTCTCCTGTCTGCCTACTATTATTATAATAAATATTGTGTTTGACAAGTTTTTTGTGCTGCCAAATATCTCATTTAGATTCCAGTTTTGATATTTTAATGGATATTTATAAATTACATTGATTATCACATTGTTGCATGTTTAACTAGCTCTATTGTGATGAATTAAACTAGCACCTCACTGTTAAAAGCTCGTTTTAATTTCAAGCATGTTTAAGTATTTATGGACATGAACAAAAACAGGAAATATATAAATTGAGATTTATTTAATTAATATAACAAATAAGGGGGAAAGAGTCATTGAAAGGCACATTCTTCCGGAAGCTCCTGATCCTGACGACACCAGACCAGCTGCAGACACCAGAGGACCTAGAACCAAGAGAGCAGCTGTTATCAGTAAATAAATAAATCATGGCAGTTTTAGTGGGCTGAACACATTACAGAATAATTTTCTCATCGGGTAGTTTCATAACTTTCTATGCAGCAGACTGTAGCTTGAGCCCAGAGCTCCTGGAGAGTTGCTATCCAGCATGTTTCAGTGGATTTTCCTGCTTTAACAGGTTAGATTAGCTGTTAAGCAGCTCAGCTATTTGTTGCTGATTAAAACCAGGTGTGTTGAAGCAGATAAACGTCTAACCCCCAAATTCCACTACCTCCGCTCCACTCCGGTCCGCCCCCGGCTTCCGCAGCCTCTCACTTCCTAACTCAATTTTTACTGGTACCCGCTCTACAACAGCTCCGCTCCGGTGCGGAGACCTGAGGGGGGCAAACAAGCATGCGCGGGATTTTCGAGATCTTGCGATACAGTCTGAGCAATAAACGCGGAAGTTAGATCCAAACACCCGTTGTGTGGGAGAAGCATGGGCATGAAATGTTTAATCTGCCCATCATTTGTGTTGAGAGATCAGCAGTGTTTGGATCAACAAAGTGTGACTACTTTGATAGTGGAAACTGTATTTATGGCTTAGTTTTGTGCATTTAAACTTCAGCCGCCATTGATAGTTGTTAAAAGTTGTTAAGCCTGTGCATATGAAACAATAAACGCCTTTTGTTTATCGATTTATTGTGAGAAACGGAAGTTTTGCTTGCTCCTTTTCCTGTTGGGCAGTTGTGATTTCTGTCCATTTACTGCGGAGGTGCTCCGGCGTCCGGCGAAAATAGGATCGATTCTAATTTTGTCGGACGCCGGAACAGAGGGCGGCGCACGGCGCTGCACTGCCGGAGCACGGCCGCAGTAGTGGAATTGCTCTGATTGACTACAACGGGACCAATTTTGCTCTGGCGTTCGTGTCGGAGCGGAGGTAGTGGAATTTGGGGGTAAAACATGCTGAATACTAGCTTTTAGGGCCGTGGAGCCAAACCCTGCAGCTAATCCAATGCTATGGCTAACGGCTACTTACAATTCAGAGCTGGTTCTGTTGGGTCGGTGCCGCTAGTTTCAGGCAACTCACAAGCTCAAAACAATAAGGCTCAGGTCCGCTTGTCTCCTCCAAATAGACTTGGTCCCTTTCTTCTCGAGTGTCTGGGTAAGGAGGGGGAGAAACATCCTCCACTTCTAATAACTGCTCAGAGTGAAGGGAGCTAGCATCGTCTAGTTAGCCATCGTCTTCGTCACTGCCGCGGCTCCGCCCTCTCGATCCTCCAGGCAACGCCTACTAATGTTGCAATTTTTTAAAATTGATACGTGGGTGGAGAAGGACTCTGAGGCACACTTGACCTGCTCTTTAAGAGGCATTCACTCCTACCAGAGATGACTGCAAAATGTATTGAAAATATGAGAACGTTGATCTTTAAACTTTGAAAAATGCCAAGCTGCAAACTTGCTCATCAAAAGGGGCGGAGCTTTTTTACCTGCTTCGGGGTGTTGAGGGTCTGACCTCATGAGGAAATTACTATGCAGTGATTTTCTCCAAAATGACTGTGCTTAAATTGCTCTGAAAAGCAAATAATCACATCAGCGCCAAGAAACTTCATTTCCCATGATGCTTTGCACACGGAAGCATTGTGATGACGTCACCGCCTAATACCAGAAACACGTTCTGCGCATGTGCGGGAGGCCGTGGAGCTATTCCCGCGAACTAAGACCATAAATCTTCAGCAGAGACAAAGAAACCTCGTTCTTTTGCCCAGGATACCTGGCGGTAAGGACACGCTTGTCGAACGCTCCGACAACTTGAGCACGCGGAAGCTCTAAATGCCCAAGTTGAGCCCACGGAACTGCTGGAAACTACACTCCAACTCCATCAGGACCTGACTGGGAACGAGCGGAGCTCCATCCAGCTCTCAGAGACGCTGTAAGTTGTCAAACTCAGCACAAAAGAAACTTCGTTCTCTTTGTGTCCAGCCCGTGGAGAAACACTCGTGGAGGTAAACAACGGAGAAAGCATCAAACCGACGGATGACGCCAAACTGCGGAGAAACACGGAGAACCGTCAAATCAAAACAGTGAGGGACGCTTCACTGTTCTGGTGATCAGAGAACTCATTTCTCTCTCTCCTTTTCTTCTCCCGTTTCCTCTATAGTCCAGAATAAGCAATAAAACCTTGCTATTGCTTAAAAAGTAGCTTCGTGTCTTCCTCTTTCGTTCCCAAACACGTCCGTCAGGTCATTTTGAAAGAATAAACTGCTTATTTATCATTGTTTGAATATCTTTAAATGTTTCGGCCATGGCCAGGCTGATAAACTAAAAGATATTAACCGTGATTAATCTTTTGTGTTGTTTCATGATCCTTTGAAATGTTTTGAGTGAATTTGAGGTTAAGTTACTTATGATTCTAAGTGCCTTGGAAGTTAAAGTGCAAGTTGCCACTCACACTTTAGCCAGACAAAGGGGTCAGCCATCTTGCATACAGACTCCATTTTAGAAACACACACACATACATACACACAAAACACCTTGAACATTATTTTGAATATACATCCTTTTATTATATCACATGGTTATTATTCATTTATGCCACTGTTTATTCATTTGACAAATTGTTAATTAAACGTTATAAAATTCAGATTTTCATCTCCAGTAGCTTTGTTGTGTCGAAGAGAAGTCTCTGCTCCAAGGATTCTACGAACTTCAAGAAAGACTGATAAGAGTTTTGGATTCAATTTTTCCCCGGTTAAAGGGGAATGGTGCCCCGTATATCTAAGAATATCTTAATTAATTAATAAATCAGTAAATATTCCCATATTTACAGAATTTATTGAAGAATCCAAAAGTAAGTTAAAGCTTACGAATTGTTCGCTCCTAATAACCCCAACAGGGGCAATCTCGTTGCGCAAATTCCTCACCGTTTTTGCTACGTTTGTCCATGTCGCCTGGCATAATTATGCCACAACAAGAACTGTCATTTAATGGTAAATTTTTATAGATAATTTGCTAATTTAAATTTAAAAGTGTGAAAACAGACAAAGATCACAACAGAGTCATCGCTGCTTTTGCACGGTGCCTTAACAAGATTGAAGGACATTTTGTAACAAACATCAGATCGACCTCTTTAATTATCATACTTTCTGTGTGTGTGTGTGTGTGTGTGTGTGTGTGTGTGTGTGTGTGTGTGTGTGTGTGTGTGTGTGTGCTGCATATTTCAGTGCTAGGATCAAAATGGCAGCGAACTCCTCTGATCAGCTGCTTTAATCCACCTGATTCAGCAGGTTCAGCAGCCAAAATGAAAAACATCCTTCTGTTATAACCAAGAAAAACCTGGTGATGCATTCAGGTGCAGCTTAATGGTTCACATTAAAGGAGTCATAATATAGGACGGGTTCTTCTTCCAGCGTAGAAACGTGATAAAGGTCGATGTTCTCGTTTATCCGAGGCTTTCTGTGAATTTTATGGCAGGAAACAAGCTAAGAAGTTTTTTTAAATCAGTGACATGATGAACGACAGGGATGATCTAAAGTTCAGTTCCATTTGATTACTCACACAGACTTTATTCCCTGGATAATGGCCGGCCGACGGAGGATTCGTTCCGAGCTGCACAGGGAGCCCGTCAGCCTGCAGGCCTCTGATAACAACCCTTGTGTCAATTAGAATCACAGATACGGGTCAGTCATGCTCTGTGCCTCCTGACTGTTTTTGTTTGTGTACATTTTATCCTTTTACCCAAAGGACAAAGGGTTTGTTTTGCAAAATTGCTCAAAAGTTGCATTCAAGGACATGTGACTTTGTTAAAATAGTAAAATATGGGAAATTTGTGGCTAAATTTGTCATTTCATAAAACGTGATATAAGCCTGAAAGCTCCAGCTCGTTCTCTTTTATGTTTCACAAGTAGCACAATAATGAGAGCAATAACATTTCAAACACACACACACACACACACACACACACACACACACACACACACACACACACACACACACACACACACACACACACACTTCAGTTCAGTAATAGAGATTTGATTTACTCCAATCTGCCTCCTGGGTCTGAGATGCCTCAGGCCACTTTTACTCTCAGTAAAAAATGGCTTCTCGACTCTTTAATATATTTTTAATAATATTTTCTGATAGGCTGTACATTCCTTTTATCTCGAGCAGGAATCAAAAGCAGATTTTACACCCGATTGCACAGGAGGACCAAATGATCCTAAGTGAGCATCATTAAAAGAAAAGTGGCTCCTTTAACCCAAATCTGAACTGAAAATGTCCCTCTGATGGCTCGGACTGGTAAGATTAAAGTGTGGAGGGATAAAGAACATTTTCATATGCTAGAAAATAAATAATTTGCTTTCTTTTTGGAGGAGAATCGTAAAACACCAGGAATGCTATGAAATCCAGATGTGACACACGCACAACAGCAGATGCATGCATCAGAAGTCCTGAAATCATGCAGCACTTATTGTAGAAGTCCAGTTATTAATTGTTTAATTTATAATAAATCACCACAAAAGGAACAGCTAAGAGTTTTGACACAAAAATCTCGAGGAGCTGCAGTCATCATAAAAGAAATGTAGCAACACCTTTACGTAAAACGGTGTGAAAATGAAGACTCTCGATTTTCCAACTGGGTCTAAATTTCTGCTCTAAATCGATTTCATAACTGTTTGTGTTGTTGCCGAGGCTTGTGTGATGTCTGCTAAGTTCCCCAGCTTTAACTAATTGACAGATTTTTGTTTTGATGCATGTTGTCATGGTGTAATTAAATTTATTGGATGTGATGTGTTTATTATTTTATAACCAATAACCTGTTTGAATTGAAGAGGAACCATCTGGAAGCACACTTATGCTGATTTGACATTTTAAAGCTGCATTGGTCTGCAGGCACATTTAGTCCACCTCTTCTAACTGGATGATTGTCAAGTCTATCTACCAGTAGCACGCAATAATACCGTCTCATTTCAACCACTCTTGGACTGCTTGGAAGAGGTCAAATTATGGATGGCTCAGAATTTTCTTTGCTTCAACCAGAGTAAAACTGAAACTTTCTTGTTTGGCCCAACAAACATGGGTGTGCCCAAGGGGTTGACTCTCCATCATTAGCAC